CTCCGCCCCCCTCCGACGATTTTTGCGTCACTGGCTCCGAAAATCCAAGATGTCAACCAGGAAGTAGCAAAACCCTGGCTTCATGTTCTCAGTGCAGAAACCAACGGGTGACGTCACGGTAGCTACGTCCATCTTTTATACAGTCTATGGTCAAAAGCTGGTTCTCTGGCCATCTGCGCTGCGACACTGCGGCGTTCACCCGCCATTACTTTGATGGCGCCGACAAGCGTGGTTAAATGTCACTTTGTCCAAAACGATGAAAAAGAACGGTGAAAATAGTTCTACTTTAAATACTTGCGCTGGCTGTCGATGAAAGGTCCAAGGAAAAGTTGTTCGGGCGCCACTTATGATGGTTTGAGTCCGCGTAGCTCGATTGAGGTCACGGAGAAAAACGGCAGACAGACAGAAGTCACGTCCACACAACTTTGGGATTTCACAAACTGCTCGTCGTTTATTAAACACACTCCAACTGTATCAAGTCCGGTTGTACAGCAACTTTCTCTTCATACATGCACAAAACAGGTACCTCCGGTTTACCAGCACTGTCATTCTCTTTTGTACAAAGAAAAGCAGGGCGAGGTGAAGATGCGAGACCAGCGCGCGTGCATCCGACATCACTCACACAAAAGACGACTGATGACGTCACCACAAGGCGACACAGCTTACACCTTGTTAAAGGGACATTTCATAAAACTCGACTGTTACAACAAATATTTATCTTTTATTTGTATGGAGCCCGTCTGGTGACATCGATAAGAAATAAAAATAAGTCGTTCCCACGCATTAGTAAATCGTGGCCACGAGATATTAATGCGTGGGAACGACATAATTATCACACGGTGTTTCATCGCAAGAGATCACTGTAGTTCATTCCAAGGTTCAAATCAAATCAAATCAAATCAAAATGCTCCATGTTTCATGCAAGTACGTCCGTTATACTTAATCGTCAGCTGGTATGACCGCACTGTGAAATTTGCTCCACAACTTCTCTTGTTTCTTCATATTAGTGATGCGAAGCCACAATTTAACTATGTCGTTCTCACGCATTAATAACTCGTGACCACGATTTACTAATGCGTGGGAACGAGTTATTTTTTTTAATTTCTTTTCGATGTCACCAGACGGGCTCCGTATATCTGCAGTCAGAACTGAAAAACTTTTCAGTATATTCCCTAGAAATGGCTTTGATGGAATTAAAGGTTCATTTTGCATCACATGGACGCTATAATTCAAACCACAATGAAACTGAAGATCCTTCAATCGTTATTCACTTTATTTAAAGACAGTTTGCGGCACAATTCAGCATCACAGTGGACCAACTGGGACATCTGAGCCTGTTCAGAATGAATTCAGAATAAATTGGCAAAGTGTGTACATGTGACAAACATCCAGCCAACAGTAAAAGGATTTAAAAAGTCAAACAGTTCACTAAACCTGTTTCATAGCTTCACTGATCTAAAAAATAAAAAAAACCCCAAAACACACCAAAAACTGACACCTATTTGTTCCCACACAGATGAAAAGGTGAAAAAACAACAACATTAAATTGCACAAATTGAAAACTGAAGAAGTTTGAAGTCAAATGTCGTCACTATCTCCAGTCAAAAAATGAAAGTTTCAAACGTTTCCTGTGAGAGAAACTGACTAACAACTATGACGACAACACACATTTATTGTTTCCAGCTCGCGGCTGGTCGTCTCATATGAAATGGCATCACAGACTGTTTAGTTTCACTTCCCTGATGGTGTAAACGTTCAATCAGTGTAAACAGCAGACTCCAGTCACTTCACCATGATTCACTTCTGCTTTTAAAAGTCAGACTTTTGTTCTGTTTCTGCTCTTTAAACGAAGACAAGTAGCTTTTAGGAGCCAGAACAACAAGAAATATTCAGTTTTTATAAAGACCCTGCACTTTCCTACCTGCATTTTTAAAAATGGGAACAAAAGTGAAATAAAAGTGAGATAAAAGTCCAGTCAGTGTTTTTATTATTGACCTCCTGTTCACGGTGCTGACGTTGGACAGAAGCTGCTCTGACACAAAAAGTGGTTTGAGGAATGTTTAGATGTTTCCTTTGACAGTAAAAACAGCAGCGACATCCGTTCTAGTCACAGTACAGAGCCCTCAGTGTCCCGTATTTACAACCTTCACTTCAGAGCTCACACTGAAACCGTCAGTGTTTTTAAAACTGAACTGAAGAATCAGTGTTGAGGCTGGAGGTGAACTCCAGCAGCGTGTCCTGCAGGGGGCACTATACAGCTATCACACTGGTTAAATGGACCTTTTATCCACCACAGACTGAATAATGAGCATCTGCATATGTCTTTCAGCTCTTTCTGTTCACGTTAGATGTGATGTTTCTCAGCCCAGCATGAACATTAAAGGATCAGACCCCCGAAGAACTCTGTTTATTGGCCTCCTGTGTGATTAAATTCTTGGATTTTGACGGTTTTGTTCTGACTTTATATAAAAACACACAAAGATTAATGAAACATTTTAAGTAGGATGAAGTTTTTGTCGTTTTGGAAAATGTTTGAGTGATTCGGGACAATTTCTGATGTATTTTTTGACATTTCTTTAAATTATTTGGGCATAATTTCAGACAACCTTTGAGTCATTTTGGTTTGCTGTCAAATTTTACTAATTAATCAATAATTTGGAGCATGTGTGAGTGATTTTGTACAGTTTCTGCTATTTTATTTTATTTTTTAAATTAATTAAGCTCCATCAGTGGCAGTTCAGTATTATTTCTGTACAATTCAAGCATCTTTGTGCACATTTTGCTCACAAAGTTTCTGTCATTTTGTACAATTTTTGCATCATTTTAGAAAAAGTTTGGACCAGTTTTCAGTTATTCTGCAGTTAATTTGAGCCGTTTAGGAAAATGTGTGAATAATTTCGGCCGGTTGTTTTATTTTGTGCAGCTTAAAAGTGACTTAAAAATAAATGTGTACGTAACTTTGGATCATTTTGGTCATTGGGGACAATTTATGAGTAATTATAAACAATTTCTGAGTCATTTATTTAGGAGAATTTGTGGGTAATTTCAGCAGCTGTTTTCTTTTCGGACAACTTTAAAGTAATTTAGGAAAAAGTGAGAGTACTTGTGTAACTTATTTACCATTTTGTATGATTTTAAAGTACTCTGGAGTCATTTAAAAAAAAATCTGTGAGTAGTTGTGGATAATATTTGTAATTTTTCAATGAAGTTAGGAAAATTGTGAGTAATTCTGTCCAATTGTTTTTATTTTGATGAATGTTCTGCACAGTTTGTGAGTCGTTTTAGTCATTTTCAGTTATTATGGACCATTTCAGAATGATCTGGGACAGCTTTGTTCATGCTGGTCATGGTTTTGTTGTTTTGGACGAGTTTAAAGTCCTTTCTGACAACTTTTTCTCACGTAGCACGAATCACGAGTCACATTTGGCACATTTGGAGTCGAACCGTCAAACTGAAACGACCTCCAGCTCTCCTCAGATGGAAGCTCGGCTGGTCCACCGCCACGTTTAGAGTTTCCAGAAAGTCAGCATGGAGAAAAACCAGCGGAATAGAAAGATGTAGAAATGCCCCCACGGTGTCCTCAGAGGACGAGTCGGTTCATAGAGCGGAGGTTTCCCGGCTCCTTCATGGACCCGACGTCCCCCTGAACGTGGCTTCGATCTGCTCCAGCGTCTTTCCTTTGGTCTCCGGGACGAAGATCATGGTGAAGACGATGTTGACGGTGCACACGGAGGCGAACAGCCAGAAGGTCCCGGCGCTGGTCAGAAGGTTCTGGAAGACGAAGACGTTCAGGTCACAATGAAATAGATTCTGATTGGTCTACACATTAACATGACAGACTTCTCACCATCATGTCCTGGAAGGTCTTGGTGACGACGAAGGCCATGCTCCAGTTGGTGAGGACGCAGACGGCGCTGGCGAACCCTCGGACCTTAACGGGAAAAACCTCCGACATGATGAGCCACGGGATCGGACCCCAGCCCAGAGCGAAACCTGGAGAGCCCCAAGCAGCAGGAAGTCATTTCAGACCATTTCTGAATCACTCAGGACTGATTTAGAGTCATTCTGAACAACTTTCGAATAAGCTTGAAATCATTTTAGAACATTTGTGAGCCATTTTTCAAGTCCTTTTAAACACATGCTCACTTATTTGTCGCGTTTCTTGAGTCCTTTAGGAAAATTTGTGTCATTTCAGACGTTCTAAACAGATTTCTGGAGCAAGTTTTAAGAAATTTCAGACATTTAAAAAAAAAAAAAATCAAACACAATTTGCAAGTAATTTTAAACAACTTTTGAAAATTTGGGACTGTTTTTGAAACATTGAGGATTTTTTTGGGTCATTTTCGACAATGTCTGAGTTTGTTTAGACAGATTTTAAGAGTTCTTCACATTTTTAAAATAATTTCATAATTCTTTTGTACTTTTGTCAAGTGTTAATTCATTTTAGACGACATGTTTCTTATTGTGGACATTTTTTTTTTTACAGACATGACCTTAAAAATTATGACAGTTTTTGAAAAATTTCTGATTTTTTTTTGTCATTTTGGACTCAGAATAGTTCTGTGAAGAACCTTTCTGAGGGGTTCCTCAAGTTCCTCAATGGTGAGAAAACCCAAAAGGTTCCTCGGGCCTCGTCTTTGTGTTTCTCTGAGGCTGAGCTCAGCTGTAAACCTTTTGTAAACGAGTCCGTATGTGACGGAGGAACCGACCCGCGATGAAGACGGCCGTGCTGGCCAGAGCCAGCCAGGCCAGGTCGCTGTGAGCTTCTTCTCCAGCTCCGTTCTGGACGTCCAGCATCAGGACGCTGAGCGAGGACGAGCTGTGAAGTCTGGACATGATGTAGAAGTAAACCCCGAACGCCGTGGTGCTGAGCGCCATGGCAACACCTGGACGAGGGAAGGAGATTAAGAAACTCCGACAAGAAACAGAGAAAGCTGCAGAGAGACGTGAAGAGCAGACAAACACCTGAGATGATGAGCAGGACTTTCCTTCCAGCTTTGTCCATGATGAGAGCAGCGACGGCCGTGAAGACGACCTGAATCAGACCCACGATCACCGACGCCAGGTCGCTCTCCTGGAGGAAGGAAAACATCTGGTCTTTGAATCACATTCAATCAGAGCTTCACTAAATTCTGATGAGCTTCTGTGTAGACGTGCAGCTAACGGCTCATTCATGACTTTTTAATTTCAAAGATTATTTGAGTTTTTTCTTGAAAATTAATCACATTGATGTCGGAGAATTTTTATGGTTTTTCTTGCAAATGCAGCACCTGCTCATTTTAGAAGTAATATTTCAGTTTTTTCATTTCAAATTTGGGTTTGTTTTTCTTGTAAATGTTTGATTTTAATCAGTTTTTCTCGTAAATGTGACTTTTTAATCAAAGAGAAAGGAAACCATAACGCTTATATTTTTGTGCACATTTTAAAAGCCTCTCGTCACATTCCTGCCAAAAATGAAAACAGATTTCTAAGAAGTCCATCCATCCATTATCTACACGCCGCTTAATCCTCACTAGGGTCATGGGGGGCTGGAGTCTATCCCAGCTGACTCAGGGTGAAGGCAGGTTCACCTGGACAGGT